AGCTGCCTGCAATCTGCCAGCAGGCTCTGGCAGCAGAATCCATTCGGGGTGAAAGCACTGTAAAGGAATTAGCTCGAATTAAAAAGAATTAGGTCAATAATAATTAGCTAGGGCTATTGTGCTAGGTAGCAACGTTGGAGTAAATCGATAAAACTCTGGGAACCCTGGTGCTCTCGGCTCGGCGTCTCTGCTGTAGCGGAAAGGGCATTACTCCGTGCTCTGTATTGAACAGTGTTTAGCGCTCAGCCACTGAAAGGAACAGAAAACTTTCCCTTTCCCTGTGAAAGCTCAGCACCACTCGATCGCACAGCTGGGTCAACCTCCCATTATTCAAGCTGGAGAAGAAAGGCCGAAGTGACAAGCCAGCGCAGTGTTCCTGAGGGAGACATCAATCCAAGGAGGATGTTTACCAGGGCTCAGAGATTAGAAAACGGCTTTGGTCACCTGCTCCGTCGTAAACTTTCTGTCTGCTGCATAGGGAATGGAAGAGGTTGGGGCTTTGCCAGGAATCTTTGGTTTTAGCGATTCAAAAAAGCCCAGTGCGGTCGAGAGTCTTCTGCCAAAACCGCCAAAAATTGCCAAAACCGCAATTTTGTGTTTTTCAAAATCTAGAACGGGATCTCGCCCACAGGAACAGCAGAAGAGATTTGAGTGAAGATATATTGCTGCCGTTACTCTGAATACTCTGAACAAATTCAGAATTTGGATGATTTCCAATTAGTGATGACCGGAGCAGAATAGGGAAAACAATTCCTGGATCTGAATAATTTTAATCACCCACTTATATACACAGTGTGACAGCTTTGGGCAGTCATGTGCCCTTTATTTATGATTTGCAAGCTGCAGAGTCCAGGAATGTGTTTGCTTTGAATCGAAGGCTGAACAAGTAAACCAAGTTTGTAAGAGTCCTGCTGGAGTCTCAGGTGATCACAGCCCCAATGACCTGAAGAAAGAGGTTATAATTCCCCCTGATTTTGTAAGGGTGTCCTCTATCTCTCTCTGTTCTACAGTAGCTCCCGAACAGTTTAAAAAAATTAACCTGACCCCTGAGGGTAGAGCACCAGCCCATAAACAGTATTGGACATGAATGACATGGGAATGGGTTTTGTAATATAGATATAATTTTTTATTTCCTAGATGTTTTATGCCATTATTGATCAATGTCTGTAGCTTGTTTAACGGCTGAACGATGGCGGTGATTTTTACGATGCAGTTTGTAAGTCCAGCGTGTTTGTCGCTCTCTAAAACAACAGAGTGCTCTGAATTTCCCAAAATACCAAGAATAAGGATCAGATTATAATCTGCAACTCCTCGACACAGCAAAATCTCTTTTTAGCGCAGAAAATACTCTTTGTTTTACATAAACTGTACTATAGTAGCATGAATCATGTTGGAAAAAGCATAATTAATTCTGAATCTGTTTCTGTTTCTAAACAATGTGCTCAAACCACAACCCCTTCTCAATCCCTTCCACAAATGCCTCTTTTTTTTAAAACAAAAGCATATTATTTAGCACTATGTAGTACTGTGACACCTCTTATTTTACGGGGCTTGTATTTTTTTGTGTAAGGGCTCTTGAATTACCGAATTCTCCAGTGCATTTGGGAGGTCTTCCTACTGTTGTTTCCCATTGCTGCTACAGAGCCGCTTCTGCTTTTGGGTTTCAAAAGCTAAACGCAAGCCGTTTCTTAAACACATCCGTTCATTGTTTCAGAGATGAGCTCTCTCAATTTATTTATCGTATAGCCAAAATGTTGGGGTGTCACAGTTTAAGTGCAAATACATCTCCCCAGCACAAAAGAATAAGTGTGTACTCCGCAGCTACAAATTGAGAAGTCGGAATGCTACTGTCATTAGCAACGCCGGGTCCAGCCATTTCGGATGGAGCGTGGGACAGTGGCCCTGTGTAGTCTCACTATTACGCCGCAGTAAAGCTTACATTTTTATGTCGCATTAGTGTAGCCGCTCTGCTTTTTTTCCAAAATAAAAAATGACATTTTCAGGACTTTAAGGGATGAATCTGAAGAGGTCTATGAGTAGAATAACTGGTATTTTACTGCAGCTCATAAATCTGCCGTTCAAATACTAATGCACTGTACGTAAACACTGAGCATAAGATATAAAAGCCACGATCGAGACTAAAAAACAAACAAATGGCTGTAAAGCCGTAAAAAAACTAAATGAATTGTGGCGTCTAGCTGGCAAGATGACTGAGGAAGCCAGCCGCGTGGTTTCCACCCAGTGAGACAATTTTCTCCTCTCCGTCTCTGTCCTCTGCAGCAGTGACGCCTTGGGTACACATCGTGCCGCGGCCCTTCAGCGATGCTGATCACAGTGCCTGTGGGGCCACGCACGGCTCTGTCGTCCTCTTTAATCTCCCTGTCCAGCGACGCTGCTCTCTTCCTGCAAATTACAGCAGAAAGCCGTAGCTCAGAAAGCAATCATAACATAAGGAGCAAAGAAAATGGCCACAATGGAGGTTATTCATGGCAGGAATTGCCAGAAATTGTTTTTTTCTTTCACTGACATGGCTTATCAGATTGTCATTTCATCCCCATCCTTTAAAAGAGCTACAGTACTAATATATGACATTTCCCCCCTTAGGGTCCCAGAAGGTCAGCATTTCTTCCACACCCGTGTTTATATAATACATCCTCAACAAACACACTACAATATCATTCAAAGTTAAGGTGGTACTACTGGTTTTTATTTATTTGTTTTAATAAAAAGGCCCATTCTTAATGATTTGGCTGACACTTCTTTCTGAAGGTATAAACGATTGCGCTCTTTCACAGCAGGTATTTCACTGAGGGGAAGCACCTTGCTCCAAAGTCCAACAGCGGACTTGAAACCGCAGTCGTCTGGTTGACAAGTCCTAATCACTTCTGCCTCAGTGCAGTTCACAGCTAAGCAGCAGAAGGCTTTAAAAATAAAATTCTGCACTCTTGAGGAAAAAAAAAATGATCTAATCTGAGATTTGGAAATTACTCAGAACGTTGCACGAGTCTTGGAAATACCTCAAAGGCCATTCAATTTAGAAATCTGTCACAGTCACAGCAGCACCCTTGATTAAAGCCTCTGCTTTGGAGTAAATCGCATGCCAGGCTGCCAGCTTACAGCCTAGTGCCTGTGAATCCGTCCTCTTCCTACATCTCAATCTCCGCTGACGGCTGAGTGAGTGGAGGGTGATTGGTGCCCGATCACTCAAATAATTAGTCGTCCCTGGGAACGAGAAGCTGGGGAACGGCATCTTCCCCAGTTCGCCAGCATTTCTTATGACTCTTGCCAACCTGCAGCTCAATCAAAGACGTGTCTCAGTTCTTTGAAAGCGTAACGAAGGTGTTCTTTCCAGACCCTATGCAGACGACGCAATCCGGGGAAGAGTGAGGAAAATAGGGGGTGGGTGGAAAGCATGCAGGACTCGGGAATGAAAACAGGGGGCGCGTCCATGGTGCGCAGGTGTTCTGGGGGGTGAATCCAAGGCAAAGAGTGCAAAAGGGAGTCCAAAGGGAAATCCAGGACGAGGCAAATGTCCAGAGCTGGGCGGTCCATCCGAGACAAAGAAAAACGAGATTGAAAACCGGAGCGGGATCCGGTGGAGGGTCGGTGGGGGGGAAAGGGGGGAACAGGACCAGTCGCTACAGGTCCCAGACTCGCCTGGTACAGTAACCAATGCAGAGCCTGAAACGGAGTGAGCGTCTGGCTTTTAAGGTGGGCTGGATAGGAAACTGGAACAGGGGGCAGGTGCACAAAATCAACTCAAAAGTAAAAGAGCTGGAGCGCCCTTAAAGGGGAGGGGCTACAATCGTGACAGGAAGCTCAGGGCATCTCCTTTCAGGAAAGCAGAAAAGGTCACAGATAGGAGCTTAAACCACAGTTGCTGTTCTTGGGTGAACTCAGTTGTCTCGCCTCTTAACGCTAGTTTTTCTTTAAAATATGTACAGTGTTACTAGACAGGATGTACAGTATAGTCGGTAGCGCAGAATTTAAATCAAGGGGATGTCGTGATACAACTGTACAATTAACTAGTTACTGTAGACCTAGAACAGATTATAATGTAGAAATTTGGTCACCACTATGCAAAGAAATCTCCGACTGATGCTCTGGAATCAGTACAGAGAGGAGTGCCTGATTTGGACTCACAAGCTAATATTTTTAGGCTTGAAAATTCTACCCTGTGGACATATTCAGATTTAACAGTGAAACATAAACACAAGTGGAAAATACATGGAATTGCATTTAAAACCGAGAACCGGAGGCACTTCTTAGTAGAAAGAGGAAGTGTAGACCAAGCTTCTTCCTCTGTTGTTGAAGATAATATCCTGGCTTCTACAAAGAAATGGCTAGATGAGACACTCAGATAATTTAGTTACTAGCAAACAAATGAACTAGAGTCACTGAATGCTGTCCTCTTGTTTCTATTTTATGTTAGGATTGTCTATGTTTCATTCCTTACTGCTTTCCCTTTATGTTACATTGGTGTTTACTGTGGGATAGTTAGCTCTCTTTCTGGTACCTCTTGTTAGGAGGGTTACAGTGTAATATGCTCTGTCTGGTACAGCCCTAGCCACGTGCTTAACTCCAGATCACAGTTTGCCACTGGTCTGGGACTTTTGCTTTGTCCTGCAGTGATATGCATTAATTCCTTAATCCAATAACGTTCTCCTGAATGAGTAGAGTATTTCCGGTTCGGAAATGAAGATCTATATCGAAAAGAATTTACAGACCCATTTCAAGGGGGTACCTGGATTCTATACAGAAAAGAGTGAAAATTGTTCAAAATGACAATAGAGCAGTAATATTGGTCTGTTTCTGTATCACTCAGCCTTTTAAACATTATGACTTTTCCTCTGTCCCAGAAAGGTGCACAGAGGCTATCTCTGCCCCAGCTGATATTCTCCAACAGAGGGAAAATGCAGTGCTTACTAAGCAATTTGCTCAGGAAGCAGCAGAAATAAATGGTCTAATGTCCTGCTTTTCCCCTTTCGTTTGTGTGTTAGACAGAGCTATGAGGGACTGGAAAGGAAGCTGAAAGAAGTTTTTATGGAGAGGAGTGGCATCCTTCGTCAACTCTCCAAAACATCAAAGGAGCTGGAAGGCATCAAGGGAAACCTTCAGGTCAGATCCTTCGTTTCTTTTGTGTTTTGTTTTGTTGATGGGAGTTAATGAGCGCGTGCTGACGGGTGCTTCTGAGTGTTCCTCCGATGAACGGCATGGGCGAGGAGGCCCAGCGGGAGCGCCCCCCGGGGGCTGGGAGGAGCAGGGCAGCCACTCACAGAGCAGGGACCCCTGGGAGTAACAGAAGAGCTGACCGCAGCTGCCACCCAGACTACAGAAGAGGAACAAACCTCTTTTTGCTCATGAGAATTAAACTCAGGGGTCCTGCAGTGAGCCGTGCACACTCAGAATTTCCAAATACATGTGATTTAAGCGGCTAAGTGTAATACTGCGGCTGGTAACTGTGTCAGAACCCAAGTGCGAGTGACCAGAGAGTCATAGAACATGCAAGGAGACCCGACTGACTGAGTGCTAGGATGCTCTGGGAGAAAGTGAAAGCGAAGACAGAAAGGTGATAATAGACTAATTAATTACTGGCCGG